TGAATTAAAATGTCACTTGTGGCCATGGAGCCCAGCATGTAGAAAGGAGGAAGAGTGTGGAGTGATGGATGGCTTTGCCATTGTGGTAGGGGGTGTCGTTGTGATTTTTCTTCCGCACAGCTGTAGAAGTAATTCCCTGGCTTGTGCAGCTCTGAGAACATAGATAACTGTAGCAGTAAATGATCACAATATGCCTTAAAATGAAAGACCCATTTGCTTCAGTATTTTTAACGATTAGTTCTGATCTCCACTCTCTCTTATCTATATCTGTCTTCTTGTTCGTAAGGTTTCCCTGCTTCAACATTGATTGGTTGTACGCAAACAACACTGAGCTCGGGAGTCCTTCATCCTCAGATAGGTCTTGATTGGACCTTGCAACCTGGTCAGCTCTTGTAGGGAAGAAATATTCTGTATGGGTAGCAGAATACATGGTGGTACCTCCAAGAAGATTCCTCAGGATTGGTGGGTTTATTCACAGTTGATTTTCTAGTCTGCTGTAGTTACATCATAAACTCTGCATGTATTTGTTTTCAGTTCTTTTTCCTATGATGCTAATGAAAGAGTGATTGTGAGGGTGAGAACTAATTAGTGAGTTTTCTTAGTAACAGTTCCCATTTGAGGGTTGCACATGATAATCCTGAGTGGTTAATTATTAACTAATAGGTTTACTCTCTTCCCATTTCCCTGTGCTGTTTTGAGTGCTGTGACGTTTGCCTTTGTAATTTCATGCCTACTATATAGATTTTCAGTGGGAAACTGATAGGATTCATTTTGCTAACATCTAGCACACACAAACAGCTCCGAACCCTGTTCCAGAGTTTCACAGAACTTTGTTTTCTGTAAGTTTTGCTCTTCTAGGATATAGGTGACCTGGCTGTTTAAGTAGTGTTCTCTCACACAATCTCTGTCCTGTGTCTGCTATATACATATTCTAGTTCCCCTACTTCCTACTCCCACCTGCCTTTCCTACTCTTCCGAAGCTAGTAATTCATGGTAAAATTATTTTTGATATGCATTTGTATACATGGGAAGGTACTTTGCATTGAAAATTGTAGTGTAATTATTGAGGGGGATTTCTTATAGCCATAGACAGATGTGATATATCCACATTTGGGAGAGAATTGGCCTGACAATCCAGAAGTGGTACAGAATGGGAGTGTATAATTAAGGTTTCTTTATAATCCTTGCCTCTCTCTAAAGATTGTCCAGCCTTTCTTGAGGGTCATTCCAAACCCTGTTCCTCTAAATTTGAAGTATAGCTATTAGCATGCTTTGGAATGAAAGTCACTCCAGGCACATTTGTTGCATCATTACTTTCCCAATTTCAAGGTGCATTGAGGAGGCAGAAACACTCCTTAAAGAGATGCCATCCACAATAGCAGGTTAAATGTGGGTAATACAACCTTAAATTAGCTTTTTCAAGAGTACAGGAAAATACTTACGTGTGGTTTGTTGTGGAGCACAGGTAATGTGAAAACTACCAGTGCAACAAAAAAGACTTCTCTGCTCAGAAATACAGTTGCTTCCTGATTATTTACACCAATGGAGGGGAATATTGGTATAGATAACAGAGAACCATAGCTAATTTATCTGTTTGGATTCTCAAAGCCTTGAGCCAATGTAGTATCAGAAAAACTATGGTAGTAAATTCACTCAATTTATATGAATAAGCCACAGCATAGAAAAACCTGAAGGTGAGAATCTTTGCATATAGATTTCTAAGTAGAAATATTTGACATTATCTTGAAATAAGCATTTGATGTAGCAAAGTCCCCCTAGTGCTATCTCTTTAAATCTGAGATCCTTCATATTTTGGGGGGATTACACCATGTGGAGCTTTGCATTTTTCTATTTATTTTTTTATTGGTGTATATTAATTATACAAAATAATGGTTTTCATTACAATATTTTCATACATATGTCTAATTTGATCATATTCAATTCCCCATTACCTTCTTATCTCACCTCCCCTCTTCTTTCCCATTGGTCCTCTTCCACATCTTGAATATTTAATATTTATCTTTTTAAAATACATTTTGGAGTTAGAGGGTTTTTTTTTTTTTACTTTATTCAAATCATTTTATTTTTTAATTTTCTGAAGAAATCTTTAATTTTCCTGGATTTTGAGTGAGTTGTGCTTCTGGATTATTGGAGGAAGATTTAAAATGTCATGTTAATGACATCTTTTGAACTTAATCATTTTATTGTCCATAGAGCCCCCTGGCATCTTCAACTTCACAGTTAGGCCTAAACTGGTTTCTGTTAAACCATTATGAGATTTTTCTCTTACTTACCTTACTTCTCTTTCTCTTATTAACCCTAAAATTGAGTATGAGATTAAAGCAGATTGCTATACCTGTACATTCAGTCAATTTTATAGTAATATAAAATGTAATGATATAATCAAAATTCCTAAAATAAATAATTTCCATGGGGGAATGATTTATGGTTATAACACTTGAGTAAAGTATCCAATATTCCTTATCAGTTTTTTTGGAGCAGTGAGACAAATATGAAAGGTTTCAACAATTTTTATATTGAAAAAAAGCATACCAAGCAGAGATACTTGATATAACAAGGAAAGACAGACACCATCCTGTGGCTGTGACTGAGATTTGAAAGAGCTGACATATTTTTTATTATTGCACTCAGTTTAATTGACTTCATAAGATCTTTCCATTCTTAAAATTCTGTCAACTTGGATGAAATAGCTATCCTTCCTCTCAGCGGATGGTCGATGAGCATCTCATCTCATCTAGGCTTTTGAACTTGCTTCAAGAAGACAGGCGCTTCATGTCTTGTCTTATAATTTTGCACCTGGAAATAAACATGGCCAGTTCTGGTAAGCTTTTAAAATTTGCTTTCATGCCTTCAATTTTCATAGTTGCCTTTCACTTCTAATCTTTGTGGTCTATGGCATGCCATTCTCTTTGTCTTTCCGTGTGTCGTTTCTGGAATAGGGCTGCTGGGTTATGAGTCGAGACTTAATGAGGAGTCAGGGACATCTATGGATTTTTATTACATGAATAGCAGTAAGATCCCTTTGCCTCTTAAGTATTCTTAGTCTACATAAGTATCTCCTCTTCCTACTACCAACTCTGGGAGTTGAACAAAAAAGGGAAGGGCTTCTGCTGCAACTTTCTTGTTAGTATTAACATTAAAGGTATGCCTGTGCATGCACACATTAGTGTTATTCCTATAAACATTACTTTTTTTTCAGATAGATATATCCAAAAGACAGTGATAAGCAACAGTCTATTTGTGGAAAATGTAGATTACAACAGTCTTGAAGAAAAAGGCCATCTCTTCAGAGACTTTAGGTTGGCTCATGATTTACAGTAATCAATTTGATAATTGTTGTTGACTTACTGGCTTAGCTCATGAATAATGTCCCAGATTTAGATTAGTATGGCAAAAGGATTTTAATCAGGTAGTGCTTTTGTTCCCATGGAGCATTTGTGTTGCTTGATTGTTCTGGACTTCAGCCAACTGCCAGAAAGGCATTTTTTTTCTCCTGTGTATATGTAGTAAAATATGTGTCACTTGAGTGTTCATTAGGGGAATTTCTAACCCACTGAAGCTTGTTGTTAGCTTACCTTTTACCAGTGTGTCATTAGAAACACTGAGAATGGATGACTGTCTCTGCTTTTATCTAAGAATCTGTTCAAAGGAAGGGATGAATCTCATTACTATAAATATTGTTTTCATCCCAGCCTACCTCACTGCTTCTGAATGAAAGAAGACCCTTTAGCTGCTGAGAAAACTAAAATACTTGATGGCTTGTTAAATTTCATTATCTAATGTACATTAATTTAGATACAACAGCTTTGTTGCTAGGAGAAGAGTCAGAAAGAAAGAGCTTGGCTGAGTGCAGACTGCTTGTGTCAGAAGAGTCAGGAAAGTGAGCAGAACTTGCTGTCCTCAGAGGGAGTTTAGAGTTCTGCTGCCTGGGCTGAAAACCTCAGAAATTCTCACTTCCAGTGACTATTCCCCCAGCATATGTGATGTGATATTTTGAAGCTTGCTTAGTCTATCATCTGCTTAATTAGTTTGAGAGACTAAAAGGATTTGAAGGCCCTTAGCTCCTATGAGGTGGAGAGCTCTGAGTCTGGAAATGTCCATGCTTGGTACTCTTGAAAGTAGAAAGCATGGGCTTTATGTTGATGCATGAAAAAAGTTTACAAAGTGCTTGGTGGGTTTATATGTTTTTATTGTTCCTATAATTTTTCGTGCTGACTTGATGGGATGTTTATCTCCATGGGGTACATCTGGTGTTACTGATTTCCCTGGGTAGGAACACTGTGCCCCAGACTCCACCTCATCCCCAAATACACATGGAGCAAGAGTTGCTGTCCTGGCATCTACTGGAGACCAGGCTTCAGTTAAGGTTAAGAAATAGAGAGCTCAGAATCTTGCACAACCTGTTTACAATAAAACATGGACAGCTTTTGGTTTCCTGAAAAGGGATTTTAGGGGCTTTGTTACAGTTTGGGCATCACTTTTTAAAAAATGAAAATTAAAGTTTAAATTAACCTCCATAAGAGAGTCGTATTGGTCTTCTGACCTCAGTGTTAGATTAAAGGAAGATAAAATCTTCCTCTTGCCCCAGAGTAGGCGTGAATGTCTCAATTTCTAAGCATCCTCCTAACTCACTTCCATTGACTGCTAAATAACTGACCACAGGGAAATGTGGAGTCAATGAGAATGTTCTGGAAACTGTAGTTCAACTACAGTTCTTCTATTGAGTAGCATGTCTGTATAGTATAGAAATAGTATTTTCTATTGGGTAGCATGTCTGTCTGTATAGTTTTATAGGGTTACATGCTTAGTTTCCTGTGGTCTGCCAAACTTTTATTTTATTGGTGTTGGGATTTTGAATCTGAGACCTTGCACTTAGCCTCCTGAGCCATTCCCTCAGCCCTGTGTGAAGACTTTTTGTCCTAAACTAGAGCAAAGGAAACATTTACTTGACTTAATTCTTTTCTTCTTTTCTCCTTCAGGATACCCAAAAAGCAAAGCAGTTCTTGCCCTTTCTTCAGCGGGCAGGCCGTTCGGAAGCTGTGGTGGAATACGTCTTCAGTGGTTCTCGTCTTAAACTCTATTTGCCAAAGGAAACTTGCCTTATCACTTTCTTGCTGGCAGGTGAGTCTTATGTGTTATATCAAAAATATTAATGGTGGAGTTCTCATAGTTGGTATTAGTCACTAACATGTTTCATGGGCAGGCCTCAGAGAAGCAGAGCTGCCTACCTTTGGAGCTCCCCAGGCAATGACACTTGCCTCTCCTTTCTTCTTTTCAAATGTCATCAGGATCCCAATCCTTTATGAAAGCCCAGCTATGACATTACTTTCACATGCTCCTTTATCTTATCATATTTCTTGTTGACTAAGGGTGACATGCTAGGGCAAGCCTTCCTCCTTTCATTGCTTCTTGAATGTTCGTCCCTCTTACCCTATCTTTTCTAGTAGCTTAATGTTTCCCAAGCCAGCAAGACCATGTATAAACTGTAGTCTTCCAGTTAATACATTTATGTATTCAGGGAGCAAACTGCTTCATTTCTTCACTGCTGGCATATAATACAGTTATTTATTGCCACTCAGTCTTTCGCAGAAACTATGGTCTTTGAGGGAAGGCTGTCATTTCACTTCCACCTACCCTTCCGTCTCCCATATTCATCCACTCACAATGGACCTGTGTAGTTATGCTCCCCAGATGCACATTGCCTTTTCTGTTGCTGTCTTGTTGCCTCAGCACTTCTTCTGTTGAATTCTTGAATAGAATTTGCTATGGGGAAAGAGAAGCAGGAACCATGTTTATTGCCTCCTGCCAGACTGCCTTGGCCTCCTTTTCTTAGAAGACACCAAGAGTTTCTTTTCTGGAAAAGGGGTTTTCTCAGGCCTCAAGTAAACGGGTTTAGTTATATGAGATAAGTTACTCTCTGAACACATGGCTATGAAGCTTACTGCTGCTGCTTCACCATCCCTTCTTCATGAGGCAACCTCATGATTAAATGGCCCTACAGGACTAACTGAAGTATGACACCACACTCAGGGGCTGCTATGAAAAAGAGGGATTGCACTAAATCCACACCTTATTGGAGTGCTACATTTGCGTTTCTGCTAACATGAGCTGTAGTAAACTGAGATGTCTCAGAGCAGTGAGTGAGAGTCCTTTCAGGGGACCATCTGTGCTGTTTTCTTAAGATTTCTGTACCTGAGAAGCTCCTTAGTGGTGAATTCTTATTGATGAGTTTGAGGTGTATATTCAACTCATTCTCTTTGCTCTACCTGAAAAACAGAAACATCCTCTTAAGATAGAAACATCTCTTAGTGTAGAGCTTAGTCCCAAAGGTGAAGAAGAAAAGCAGTGTGACTCTTTCTAGGAAACTTGGCCACAAATATACAAGGGATAGAAAACATTGAAGCTCTTTCTTCAGAGCTACCTGAATGGAGCCACCTCAGAACATGGACCTATCTTGACTAAGTGTTCCTACAGAAGACAGACGCCATCTGATCACCCAAGTTCATCAGCCAGCTCCTCTGTAGACTTGGCATTATCCTAAGGTCCATATTTCCAAGGCATTGCCTTGGTTAACTTTCACTCCAATAGATTACACCACAATAAATAACATGCTAAAAAGTATAATCTTTACATTTGCCCTCCTGCTACCAGATATGCTGTTACATTACACATCTTTGGGTTCTTTAGAAACCTGGCAGGGCCACAGGATATTGCAAAGTCTTAAGAGAAAACAGATCTCAGTTTGAAACCTGCCTCTACTGTGCCTAAGCAGATGATTTTAAGAAGGTTACTTGACATGCATCAGCTTCACTGTACACGTTAATTATAACTACAGATGGTTTCCTGCCTCCCTGAATTTTGGAGAGGATTTAATAAGATGAGTCCTGAACAAGTCTACCATAAAGCAGATCATCAATGAGAATGTAACTTTCCCTCACAGAGTTAGTGTATTTAGGTTTTATTTTGCTGTTGTTGTTTTGAAAAGAGGTCTTGCTGTCTTGCTCAGGTTGGCCCTGAACTATTGGACTCAAATAATCCTCTTACCTCAGCCTCCAAGTAGCTGGGACTATAGGCATATAGTCCACTGAGCCCTGCTGAGTTTGTGTTTGTATGACTGCACCTGTGACCTTACCCCTCATTTGCAGTGGACTGGTTGTACAGCATTTGAGCATGTAACTGTGGTTCTAGCATGGAGGTTCTGACCTATCGATTGATGAGAATGAATTAGGAAAAAACTGTGCCACCCTCTTCCTACCTAGCACCGAGCTCTCTATCAGGAACGCTCCTGGCTTTCCCCTCTGAGCTTCTGGAGTAAAGAACTTTGCAGTGTCCTAAACTCTGATCACAATAAGTGCACAAGAAGAATGGTCCTAGATTCTCAGGAAACTTAAGGGAAGACAGACATGTCTATAAACTATACAATTGGACACTAAATAAGAGAGAATTATGGACAAAGGACAGAAGTGGCACCAAGGGGGATTCCTTAGGTGGAGATCAAGGGATCTCAGCACCTCCCTGAGGAGCTGAGTTTTAAAGGACAGAGAAGAGCTTGCTGTATAGGGGAAGGGAGCAAGAGGAGGGTACATTCTAGGCACATGGGTATAGGGATATGACACATCTGCAGTGACACCACATAGCCTTTGGTGTGGAGGAGGTAAGGAGTGAGGGGGTAGGAGCAAGATGAAGCTGAAAACTCCTGATCACAGAAGATCAAAAACTGATCTTCTGTGAATTTTTCTGTGGACTCTGAGTCACTAGAAGATCTTAAACAAGGAAGTGACTTGAGCTAAGAAACATTAGAATAAATGAAGCAAGGGTCTAGGAGAGCGGGTTTTTGGTTTGTTTGTTTGTTTTTCGTTAGTGAGACTGGGGTTTGAACTCAGGACTTCCCCTGTTCAAAGTAGGCACTCTACTACTTGAGCCACAACTCCAGTCCCTTTTGCTCTGGTGATTTCAGAGACAGGGTCTTAGAAACTATTTGCCCAGGCTGGGCCTTGAACTGCAATCCTTCCTTCCAGTGTCAACCTCCCAAGTAGCTAAGATTATAGGCATAATGACCCACTGGCTCCTAGGTCAGGAAAGCAGACTTTTTTGGTGGGTGGGGGTAGTTCTGGGGTGGAACTCAGGACTTTATGCATGCTAGCTAGGCACTCTATAACTTGAGCCATTCCTCCAGCCCTTTTTGTGTTGGTTAATTTTGAGATAGGTTCTCACAATTGTTTCAGCCCTTTTTGTGTTGGTTAATTTTGAGATAGGGTCTCACAACTGTTTGCCTGGGCTGGCTTCAAACCATGATCCTCCCGATCTCTTCCTCCTGAGTAGTTAGGATTACAGGCATGAACCACCAGCACCTGGCATAGAGCATCCTCTTAAAGGCAGGGGCCACAGACTGGCAGTGGAGAGAAGCAGATTTGGAAACATTCAGGAGATAGACTTTTTTTTTGGTCAGGGTTGGGGGGATGGTACTGAGTGTAGAGAGGAAAGTCAGGCATCCTATACTTGAGCAATTGGGTGGTTTGTGATGTCCACAATTGGGCAACACAAAAGCTTCAGCTGGTTTAAACAACAGATAATTGGTTTGGCTTTGGGTGTGTAATATTTGTGAGTTCCATGGGAATGTTCAAATTCAGCAGAGGAACCTCAGCAAAAATGTTCAGATCATTGAGTGGTCAGCATATGGGCAGGACTTGAAGCTCCTTCATTGCCTTCCAACCAGGTTCGGGAAGTTAAACACCCCAGAAATTTCAATCTGAGATAGCAGGCTAAGCACACATAGGCAGAGAAGAAGAAGACCATAGAAGAAGACCGTGGCAATAGTCTTCTGGAACACAGAATTCTGGGGAGTCTGCTGTGTCAGAATTTTCATAAAAGATCAAGTTTACAAAACAATAAAGTAATTATACTGGTTATCAATTAAAAAGTCATAGGTGACCTTTTTGGGTAGTTTCATCAGATTTGAGCCAACTAAAAGCACACTCCATGTGGTTTTGGAGTACAGTTCAAAAGTAAGGAGCAGACTTATCAAATATATTTTGCCTGCCCCCCGCAAAAAAATGTAAAATAGAAAGCTAGTAGTAAATGAAAGGTGACTGGGCAAGATAGCATTCTCAGGATGTCAGAGTTATTCCAGATATGTAATTCTTGCCTGCGAATCAGAAAGGTGGCATATATGGTTGGAAAAGCTATTTAATATACCTGTTGTTTTCCTAATTCCAGTTGTAGAATTCAACAAAATCTTCTTGGTAAATGAGGATATAAAAAAGATGAGTGAGAGAACATATATTTTAAAGTTGTGAAAAATCTGAGGAGATAGAACTACAAAAAGAGTGCAAGGGAGTAAAAAAGAAGAGATTAGTGAGCCAGAGGAGATGGAATCAGTGAGCCTTCTGAAGAAAGTAGGTGGGGAGTCTGCTCAAAGAGAGAAGGGGCCCTTGGTCCAGCTACAGCAGCGAGGTAGCAAAGGTGAGTGTTGCCACAGACACAGCATCCGTGTTGTGGTACTGTTTACCTGGACCATGAGTCTTTCGGTACAACTTGCATAAACCTGTGGTGTGCACTCACACCATGTAAAATTACACTCTGTGGGAAATGGTGTCTGCAGCAAGGAGGGAGTTTCAGTTTTGATTCTCAAGGGAAACTCAAGAGAACTGTTGAGATCATTCCCTTTCATGCTGCTCTTATTAATCCCAGCCTTTCAGAAGGCCCTTTGTACTTCAAGGTAGGGTGAACAGTTTTGGGCAGAAGGCCCCACAGCTTGATAGGGAGTGGCATTTGGCCTGAGCCAGCTGGCCTTTCTGTCACGGTTCCTGCACCCCTGTATGTGGAGTGATTGTCTGGTCAGATGGGGTAGCAGGTGGGGCTGGAAGGTCATCTGCAGCTAACAGATCAGTGCCTCCTGAAAGCTCTTGCCCTGTAGTTCTTTGAGCACCTGGCTTAGGTTTGGTCGGTGAGCAGATGACCTTACACCATCTGAACTGAGGCTGTTCAAGGTCCCTCTCCTTGCTGCTGTGGCCTCCTATGATATTTATTTCAGTCTTGGAGGCAAATCATAGTCAGTTGTTGTCCTGAGTTATTAGAAAGGCCAAGATCCCTAGCAGCTTGCACTTGTTTAAAAGTGTCAT